ACTGCCAAGATGGCCGGACGCACTCTCTGACAGCTCCGGCTCCAACGGGCAAAAAAATCACGAATCTCGACCTACCAAGCAATGTCAGCAGTGCATGGTGCCAGGAAAACGATACAGGACCCTACACGGAACATACCGATACCTGTCCCGCATCAAAACGCGAAACGACCGACCATGAGGCCTAAACAGGAGCGGGGCCTAAAGCCTGGGGGAGGCGGCCGATCTCCCGGCAAGGGAACTGCTCATAAGCATGAATCAAACGCTGCCCTGCTACCCCCCCCACCCCCACCCCCCTGGACCGGCGGGGGATATCCCGGTCCACGCTGGGGAAGCCCACCCCTGCAAAGCAATGCGAACAAGCGACAAATACTGTGGTGAGACGAAACCGCCAGTGCTCAGGCAAGATGGCGCAGATGGCACGGCCGGCGACACAACACACCCGTTTACAACCACCCAAGCATACCTTGGACTTCTTTGACCAACTCTGTGCAAGCCTCTGGACGAAGCTCAGGGACAAAGGTCATGCCTTCAGACTAGCAAGGGGACTGGCGGCAGCGTGGATTCGCCGAGCAGTCCGGTGACACCTGTGTGGATTCCCGCCAAGTGTCGCCAGGGAGGCCTCCCGAAGGCGCCGACAAACAAGATGGCGGGAAAAGGCGACATGTCCCGCGGGTGATAGCAATCACTCCCACACACACCAGGGCAAGGCCAGCCAGCATACCCAAGCTGTCTACCACACAGTGACCTCGGAGACTTCCGACCTCCACGCTAACCTCACTAACCCCCGAACCCCAGCCTGCGGCAGCAAGACTTACCAGAACGGTGAACGCCGCACAGGGGCCGCGGGAAAGGTCCGGCGAGAAGAACAACCAAAGGCTTTAACCTCTTGTACGCTGGCAAACGAGGGAGTCAGGCACCTGTACACCTGCAGCTTCCCAGTACAGGGCATCGGCTGAGCAGTCTCACACGGGACACGGGTCCTTTTGTGTTTATACTGTTAACTGCAAGTAGTCTGATTATGGACAGATTCCTACTATTGCCTATTCAACCTGATGTATATTAGTCACAGCTCTATACTAACAAACATATCTCTTATACGCTAAGGTATAGGACAGTGAAGCTCATATGACATCTCACACAAAGGTTCTGTCTTGTATACAACATACTCCCTTATTGTATTTTACTTCCTCTTAAGGAATATTGTATAGGCCTAGCATGTTTACACACTGTGCGTCCCAGCATCACATTGCGCTTAACTCTATTCAGTTACTAAGTAGATATACACTCAAACGACTGAACAGCGATACCCAGTATAATGCTACCTAAACTTGTTCCCTACCATGTTAATATGACTCACGGAAATCCCTGTGTATATACACACTAGCCTTCACCCAGAACGTGGGTTTAGACCAAAATGTCTTGCCTTAGTTTAGGCTTGTTGCACATCCACGTTACTTACTCCGTAACTGCAATAATCTGTAGACGAGTAGCAAGCCAATGCACAGACAACACTTAGAACTAGCCTGTAGCGCACACTGGAATGTTTATATATACATGATTTGCGACGCCAGCAACTAGTTAGTTAATATGCCGAACACGACTACTTAAGGTTTGGACACTCTCTAAAGTTGCTTCTGTAAGCTGATCGTATTGCTTAACATTGTACTCGAAATATACACAGTTAAACGACAACCTTTATATTTAAAAATTTGTGCACTGTTATTGCATACCCCATTGTTATAATTGTAATGGAACTAACGTGTGGAGTGCCGTTGGGGTACCACACACATGTCTGTTCAACCCATATGCACTGCAAAAATAAAGAATTAAAAAAAAAAAAAAATGCAGTCCTTATATCTTTAATTCTACATATTTAGTTTCATTTTTGGATTCTTCAGAGGTTTTAACAGCCAACTAAGAACAGATAAAATAAGATCCATTCAAATTAGTAAGTGCCATTGTAGTTTTGTGAGGACTAGCTAACTAGCTAACCAGCTAATTTTGGGAAACCATAATACTGAGCCACTTGCTTCTTGTTTAATACCACCTTTGAATTTTACACAGTTAAACACTTAGGTTTCAAACCAAAACCTAGAATTTATGCTGTGTTTGTTCCACCAGAAATATTAAATATTGTTATGATTTTAGGACAGTCATTTATTTCTTTTAGTATCCTACATGAAAACCTAACACAACATTAAGTATGATTAAAATGTAAAAAATTGAAAAAAATTTAAACTTTTTTTTTTGCCAATGTCACATGTAATCATTTCATACTTCAAGGGCAACTAAACATTTTTTTAAACTATATTAATGTATCAGTCCTGATTGTGAAATGACTCATATTTAAAAATATATATATTTTTAGTAGTTTATACCTACAACAAATCTACTCCTAACCCTATGGTTATACTAACTCTAACCCTACACCACCCCTAACCTTAACCATGCATTATCCCTAACCCTAACCCAGCATTAACCCTTTCCTTACATTAACCGTACCACAACAGCAACCCTAACCCTACACTAACGATAACCCTAGCGCAAAGGGATTCCAAGCGTACACAAGACAGAGAGCTCTGTGTGACTGGAGAATGAGATAGAAAAAGAAAATATCAAATAATTAAAATAATTATAGCACAACCTATAACTAATGTTTAGTTTATTAGTTTGTGATAACATTGAGGAAGCAACAGTTTTATTTAAATAAATCAGTTTAAAATAAATTGGACACAGATTATTTTCATCTAACCAAACTAAATATAGCTGCAAATGGTGGTGATTGGCTGTGGGGAGAGTCTAATTAGCAACTGAGCCCACACTTATCTCTCATTGGTTGAGCTGCACTGTTTAACTGCCAATCAGGAGGATGCTTTGAAATTGGATATTACCCACTTATGGGTTATGACATAATTTTGATTGTTAACTGAGCTGTGCAAGCATTCAGTGGAGCAGAAACAGTCAGTTGTTTAGAATATTTAGTTAGGTAGAAGCAGTCAGTTGAGCAAATGTAGTCAGGCACAGGAGCCAACAGTGCCCAAGGCACCAGCCATGCTGAAGGTGGCAGTTAAGCAGATGGTGCCATTCATGCACAAGTCACCAATTAAGCCAAAGATGTCAGCCATACATTATGGATCAGTTAAGCAGAACTCACCAACCATGCTGAAGGCTCCAGTTGTGCAGAAGGTGCCTGTCATACACAAAAGGCCAGCCATGCCAAAAGAGCTAGCTATGCAAAAGGTGCCAGTCATACAGGAGTCAATTATGTCAAAGGCATCAATCATGCAAAATGCTACAGTAATGCAGAAGGACTTGTCGTGGTGATGTCACCAGTCATGTCAAAGGTGCCAGTAATGCGAAAAGTGCTAGTTATGGAGAAGGCATCAGCCATACCGAAGTCACCAGTCATGTGGAATGTGCCAGTCATACAGAAAGGGTCAGTAATCTCAAAGATACCAGTCATGAAAAAGCAAAATGTGTCTATCCTGCCAAAGGCATCAATCATGCAGAAAGTGATAATTAGGCAGACGGCTCCCGTTATACAGAAGGAGTGTGTAATGCCAGAAGGATCAATGATAGAGAATCACCAGTTATGCCAAAGGCTCCCGTCATCTCAAAGATACCAATCATTCAAAAGATGCCCATCGGGTCAAAGATAGCAGTCATGCAGAAAGATACAGATGCCAAAGGCATTGGTCATGGAGAGACAATCAGTCATGGAGAAATTACCAGTTATGCCAAAAGCACCAGTCATGGAGAAAGTGCCAGTCAAGCAGAAAAGGACAGTCATCTTAAAGATATCAGTCATGCAAAAGGTGCCAATCAAGCCAAAAACACCAATACTGCAGAAGGTGTCAGTCATAAAAAATGGATCTTAATGGAGAGATCACCAGTAATGAAGAAGGCCAGTCATGCAGAAGGCCTCAGCCTTGCCAACGACGTCAGTCATGCAAAAGGTGTTAGTCACAGAGAAATGACTGGTTATGCCAAAGTCACCAGTCATGACAAAGATGCCGGTCATACAGAAAGTGACTATTTTGACAAAGGCATCAATCATGAAGAAAACATACTTTAAAATAGAATTTTAATTGAAAAAGGAAAAAGTCTGAACATTTTAAATCTTGACGAATTCAATTTTTAAAAAATATTTCTGTTTTTAAGACCCCTGTTCTGTATATCCTTCCTAAAATTTAGAAAGACCCTAAAAACCTTCCTGGCAGGCCCATAGTGGCTGGGGTTGATTCACTTACCAGTCCTTTATCCCAGTATATTGATAGACTTCTCCAACACTTGGTAGTGTCTCAACCCACTTATCTCAAGGATTCCACCCAACTTATAAGGGAACTATCTAAAATCCAGTAGAAAGAACAACATTTTTTGGTAACTTGCGATGTGAGCAGTCTTTATACTATTATGTCTCATCAATTAGGCTGTGAGGCAGTTGTACATTTTCTTTGTTTAGGTGTTTTTTTTAGAGTCCCAATCAGACTTTATTTTGGAAGCGATTAAATTTATTTTATGCCACAATTATTTTTGGTTTAAAGGATCTTATTTTTTGCAACTCATCGGTAATGCGATGGGGACCAGGTTCGCACCAAGCTATGCCAATTTATTTATGTCCCAATGGGAGGAATCTTTCATCTTAGGGAACAGCATGGCGGGTGCAGGCCTGGTCCACTATCACAAGTACATAGACGATTTATTTTTTATACGGAATGGGGATCAACCTTCCCTTGATCATTTAAAAAAAATGTAAATCTCAATCAAAGAAGTATTGTGTTGACTTGTGAATACAGTATCTAGTGTACATTTTTTGGATCTCGAAGTATACATTGAAGATGGAAATATTTATACACGCACCTTTTTTAAGAATGTAGATACTAACCGTTTTATAGATGTTGATAGCTGTCACTATGCACCTTGGTTACAAAATATTCCGAAGGGCCAGTTTTTAAGAATTTTAAAAAATTGTAGCAATAGGGACGATTTTATCTCTCAGGCTTATTATCTAAAAGAACAGTTCTTAGCCAAAAATTACGACCCTGGACTTTTAGACAAACAGTTACTATGGGTTAGTACACTAAATAGGGCCCAGGTTTTAGAATACAAATCCAAAAAGGATAAAGGGAATAAGAATGACTTTAATTCTGGAGGTATCCCTATTATTTTTGATTGTAGTAATAGATCCAAACACATTAAATATATTTTAACTAAATTCTGGTATGTGCTAAAAACAGACTCAGATCTCACTAATATTATTGGAGATAAACCCAACATAATTTATCGAGGTGCTAAGAATATTAAAAATGATTTAGTAAAAGGTTTTATTAAACCAGTCAAGACCAATTTTGTTTTCAACCAAAAAATGTTTTTTATCCTTGCAAAATGTGCTCTAACTGTAAGAACACTTATTTTATGAAAGATATCAAAACTTTTTCTACATCATATATAACAGGACAAAAATGTAATATCAAGGATATCCTTACTTGTCACACTTCAAATGTGGTGTATCTCCTCTGGTGCCCATGTGGGCTGCAATACGTGGGAATGACCACTAGAAGTTTGAAAACCCGTGTTGTGGAACACATGGGCAATATAAACACAGTATTTCTGATCATTTTTTACAATACCATAATAAAGATTCTTCTAAGTTATGTTTTATGTCTATTTTTAAATAGCCTTTCAATTGGAGAGGGGAAGACAATTTTAAGGAACCATATAAAATTGAAAGCAAGTGGATATTTACTTTAGATACCTTGCCCTCTAAAGGGCTTAATCTTGAGTTTGAATTGTGTCATTTTTTATAATTTTCTTTAAATTTTTGCAATACACAATTTTAGAATTTACCATAATGTCTTAGTTTTACCATTTGCTTAGGTGTAGTTTTTCTTTATATATAACCTTTGATCATATTCTCTATATATTCATCTATGGCTTTTTTCCCCTCTATTATATTACTGTGCATTTCGGACTACTTGTTAAAGGACCACTATAGTGCCAGGAAAACATACTCGTTTTCCTGTATGGAAGGGAAAAGTAAACTTACACCTTCCAAGCAGCTGGCTCGATCCTCCTCTCTATCTGCTCCTCCCCGGCTGATGCATGCGTTGTAGCGCACAAGTGCGCGCATTCAACTTGATCCTCAAGCATTCAATGTGCTTTCCTATGGACATTGAGCTCTCACTGTGAAAATCACAGTGAGCACAGCGCAAATGGCTTTAATCAGGACAACCTAGGAGAAATAGGGAAGGCTTAACCCATTCACAAACATAGCAGTTTCTCTGAAACTGCTATGTTTATGAAAAAATGGGATAACCCTAGCTGGACCTGGCACCAAGACCACTTCATTAAGCTGAAGTGGTCTGGGTGCCTAGAGTGGTCCTTTAAGTCATTTTGCCCACACCAAATAGGGGACTGCTCCTAGTGTGCCCTCACTCCAATGATTGGAGGACCGGAAATTATATAGCCACATCGCGTCACGTGATGGCCGCAGTGTGTCACGTGATGGATCAAGTGGATATGCCGTGCCAGAAATAGAAGGACACAGCCGGGTACGTTTGAATTAGATTCAGAAGGGTATTTATAGCCACTTAGGAGACAGCATTGTAGCACTGAAGAAGACTCCAGCCGGAGTTGAAGCGCGTTTGCTAATAGACATTTACTATTTTGGGACTTTTTATCTTGTATGCAGTGTTTACCTAGGCTTTTTTGCCCAGTATATTTGTTATACATTATGTCACTGCTCAGCCATTCCCTCCCAGTGCACATAGCCATGCTGCAGCTTCTCTCTCTCTCTGAGAAGCCTCTAAGCATCATGGGATTCAGAGTCAGAGAGGGGAGCAGGAAGTGGACAGCAGGGGGTTCCATCCCAGTAAGGGATCAGGCAGGAAACACTAACTGTGTTTATTGGTTCCATGTGTGCCTGTACTGCAGCATATAGGCAGAGTCTGGATCCATATCACTGTCTGACAAACTGAACATTGCCTCACTGTTTTACCCATTTACAATTCATTGCTTTTTATTATTGTCATGGATAGTTGTAGTGATCTGCAGCTTCAGGCTCTCCTGTAGTGTGTATTGGAGGCAATGAGTGGAGTCCAGCAAATCACAGTTAAGAGGTCAAACCATTAGCACATTGGTTTGACTACTTACATCAGAGGGGTTCCCTGGTGTTCCTGGCTACATAACCACTATTGCACTCTGTGGTGGTTGTGGTCTTTGGAGTGTTTCTTTAAGAAACAATGGTTAATTGCCATTGTGTTTAACTAAGTTAGTTATGTAATTGTAAAAAAGTAGAAGTTTAGCAGACTGGTTCCCATTTAATGATCATGGTGTCTTCAGTAAAACTGCAATCTATTAGATTCATATTAGAAAATTAAATCGAAATTCACACATCACCGCTGACATTCACAATTCCCTATATGAGAAACCCAATAAGGAGTTATGCAAGCAAGAATATAGTTATGTGAAGGGCTAAGATTCCTGTGCTTGTGAGATTATTCTTCTTTAACACTTAAACGGTCTTTAAATATGTGGATATTATATATGTGGTGGTGGTAGAGAACGTTGCTTTGTTTTTAATGAGATTTTAAAGGACCACTATAGTGCCAGGAAAACATACTCGTTTTCCTGGCACTATAGTGCCCTGAGGGTGCCTCCACCCTCAGGGTCCCCCTCCCGCCCGGCTCTGGAAGGGGGAAAGGGGTTTAAACTTACCTTTTTCCAGCGCTGGGCGGGGAGCTCTCCTCCTCCGATCCTCCACTTCTCCTCCCATGCGGCTGAATGCGCACGCGCGGGAAGAGCTGCGCGCGCACATTCAGCCCCAGGACTATAAACGTCATAGTAACCACATATGAACTAGCGTGCTCTCACTGTAGAAAATCACATTGAAACACGCATAAATACCTCTAGTGGCTGTCAATGAGACAGCCACTAGAGGAAATAGGGGGAAGGCTTAACCCATTCATAAACATAGCAGTTTCTCTGAAACTGCTATGTTTATGAAAAAATGGGTTAACCCTAGCTGGACCTGGCACCCAGACCACTTCATTAAGCTGAGGTGGTCTGGGTGCCTAGAGTGGTCCTTTAATTAGTTTTTGTTTTCTGTGCAGCACTGAATAATAGAGGTGATATCTGGCAACTCAGTACATATAGTAACATCATTAACTCCTGAAGAAATATTAAAGAGATACATGGACAGGCTAACAGTTTATGAGCACTATGACATCTTTCGTTACACTGACATCTACTTTTTTGGTAACAGTGCAAGGAAGTGTCATGGTTTCATCGGTGAACGACATAATCGCTGCTATAATGACACGGAGGGTTTCTATATTCAAGTACCACATGATCACATCGCATACAGGTATGAAGTGCTTAGAGTTTTTTCGAAAGGATTATCTGGACAAGTGGTGGCAGTGTGCAATCACAAATTTCAACAGCATGTGGCATTAAATATGGTCCGTAACGAGAAAGGTTGAACTTGTCATCAGCAGGCCATAAATGAGATACAAATACTAAAAAATCTGACAAAACAGGACAAGGATAACTACATGAATGTTATTCACATGCTGGACTACTTCACAAAATGTATGACATTTGAGCTACTCAGCATTAACCTATTAAGAAAAACAAATTCACAGGTTTCAGTCTACCAACAGTGCATGCATTTGCTAACTCGATTTTACAATGCTTGGATTCCCTGCAAACAAATAAAATCATCCATTGTGACCTCAAACCAGAAATCATTCTGTTAAAAGAATAAGGCAAAACTGACATCAAGATGGCAGACTTTGGATAAAGCTTCTACTATCATCAGCGCAATTGGAGATACATCCAGACTAGGTTTTATCATGCACCTGAAGTCACCCTTTGCGGTCACTACGGATTGGCTATTAATGTGTGGAGCCTGGGTTACATTCTTGCTGAGCTGTAAATTGGAGTTCCACTATTACCCGGGGAAGGTGAATATGACTGACTTGCACTTTGAATGATTGAGTTTAAAAAGGCCTTAGATCTTCTAATACATACTACAGGTTAATTACCACCATAGGACTCCATGATAACTGCAGTGCTAGATATCTGTCAGATGGATCAGTGGTGCTGAATGACATTCACTCTGAAGCAGGAACATAACGTGGTTGACCTGGCAGTCGAGACCTGGTCACTGCACTAAATCGCTGTGAGCATCCCCTTTTTACAAATTTTCAAATGCAGTGCTTTGAATGGGATCCTGCACAACCTATGACACCAAGCCAGTTATTACAACATCCATGGCTACGGAGGCTTGCCAAAGTCTCCAAAGGGGAAACAGGGCTGATTGTGATGAACTAAATACCATGCTGAACATTAATTATTTAATTAATGAAAACAAAATATTCTGTAATATTTTATTTTAATTATCAATAGCATGTGGCATTGTAAACAATAGCTGCAAGTTTTGTCATGACCACTGACTCAACTATTCTGACTGTTAAACTGTATTAATGTGTTAAAATAAAAATGTTTTCTTTAAAATGCATTTTACATAGATGATGCTGGGAAAACCCACGACTGGACATGACGTGAATGAAGTTCAAACTAACTTTTGAAGCGGCCATTTACTAGGAGTTGTATTAATGACCTATAGACTACTGGTAGAACATTGTTCTATTGGTAAGGCACAGTGTTAACTGCATTAGTCAGGATTGTAGAAATTTTTCTTGAGCACCATTTTAATTAGTTTTTTTTAATGCATTACTCATCCTTAGTATTTAATAGGCTAAAGAGATTTTACCTTTGAACTGTTTCACAAATCTATAACTCAAAATAATAATGATAATAATAATAATAATCACAGATGTTGTTACAGGAGGACTGCGAGGGCTGAAGCCCCAGATGTTGGATTCTTTAGCCATAAATCTCTACATGTGCTTTAGAGAACAAGAGAATATTAGCTGTGTTTATTTTTATTTTTTTATTTTACTCAAAGCAGCCACTTGACTTAAAAAGAAAAAATACTAGTATAGTAATCCACAAGGCTACTAAGAAGGAGGGAATAGTGTTGCCTAGGTAACTGTTGGTGGTGCATAACAGAACTTTGCTGCCCCAGCCATCTTTTAATTTGGTATTATTGTGAGATCACATTGAATACCTAGCTGTGCATCATGTGCTTGTTTCCAGCTATGCCTTCACTTAGAACCTGAAGAATAGAAGCACCACACTGATCATGGGTAGAAAGGAATTGAGTTAACATAGAGAGGCTGGAATATGTAATTGCATATCCAACCTCCCTTCTAGTAAAGGAGTTATCACATTGTGCTTTGGATTCATGCCCCAGGTGTCCCCTGATAATGTTAATAATAATCCAGGGTCGGAAGCAGACTCAAGTCTCGGAAGAGACACTGACAAGTTATTTAATTACAAAAAAATTGCAAACAGCAATTTTTATTTGTAAAGTGCTGCTGAGCGTGTTCACACTCACCGGCAGTAAATTTAAATTACCCCAATGTCAGGGAAATGTTTCCTTGCTTGCCCCCTGCCCAGTGATTGGTGCTGGGATTGACAGCTGCTTAACACGAATCACCTTCCTTCAGCTCCATCTTATGTTGCAATTACACAGTACAGAGTGCTCACAGAGGCCTTTGTACTGTGTGCGCTGGGAAAACCCCAGCTGATGTCAGTACTGAAGTCAGCAGAGGGAATGCCTCTGAGGTGGAATGTTTTAGGGCAGGGGTAGGCAACCTTTTAGCTGCACTGTGCCGAAATAGGATTGTGATGGATATTACCCACTTATGGGTTATGACATAATTTTGATTGTTAACTGAGCTGTGCAAGCATTCAGTGGAGTAGAAACAGTCAGTTGTTTAGGATATTCAGCCAAGTAGAAGCAGTCAGTTGAGCAAATATAGTCAGGCACAGGAGCCAACAGTGCCCCAGGCACCAGCCATGCTGAAGGTGGCAGTTAAGCAGACGGTACCATTCATGCACAAGTCACCAATTAAGCCAAAGATGTCAGCCATACATAATGGATCAGTTAGGCAGAACTCACCAACCATGCTGAAGGCTCCAGTTGTGCAGAAGGTGCCTGTCATACACAAAAGGCCAGCCATGCCAAAAGAGCTAGCTATGCAAAAGGTGCCAGTCATACAGGAGTCAATTATGTCAAAGGCATCAATCATGCAAAATGCTACAGTAATGCAGAAGGACTTGTCGTGGTGATGTCACCAGTCATGTCAAAGGTGCCAGTAATGCGAAAAGTGCTAGTTATGGAGAAGGCATCAGCCATACCGAAGGCACCAGTCATGTGGAATGTGCCAGTCATACAGAAAGGGTCAGTAATCTCAAAGATACCAGTCATGAAAAAGCAAAATGTGTCTATCCTGCCAAAGGCATCAATCATGCAGAAAGTGATAATTAGGCAGACGGCTCCCGTTATACAGAAGGAGTGTGTAATGCCTGAAGGATCAATGATAGAGAATCACCAGTTATGCCAAAGGCTCCAGTCATCTCAAAGATACCAATCATGCAAAAGATGCCCATCGGGTCAAAGATAGCAGTCATGCAGAAAGATACAGACATGCCAAAGGCATTGGTCAACGAGAGACAATCAGTCATGGAGAAATTACCAATTATGCCAAAAGCACCAGTCATGGAGAAAGTGCCAGTCAAGCAGAAAAGGACAGTCATCTTAAAGATATCAGTCATGCAAAATGTGCCAATCAAGCCAAAAACACCAATACTGCAGAAGGTGTCAGTCATAAAAAATGGATCTTAATGGAGAGATCACCAGTAATGAAGAAGGCCAGTCATGCAGAAGGCCTCAGCCTTGCCAAAGACGTCAGTCATGCAAAAGGTGTTAGTCACAGAGAAATGACCGGTTATGCGAAAGTCACCAGTCATGACAAAGATGCCGGTCATACAGAAAGTGACTATTTTGCCAAAGGCATCAATCATGAAGAAAACATACTTTTAAAATAGAATTTTGATGGGTCCCCTTTTAATTTTTTATAGGTGTTTTATAACATTTTATAAAAGTTATAAAATTTTAATTGAAAAAGGAAAAAGTCTGAACATTTTAAATCTTGACGAATTCAATTTTTAAAAAATATTTCTGTTTTTAAGACCCCTGTTCTGTATATCCTTCCTAAAATTTAGAAAGACCCTAAAAACCTTCCTGGCAGGCCCATAGTGGCTGGGGTTGATTCACTTACCAGTCCTTTATCCCAGTATATTGATAGACTTCTCCAACACTTGGTAGTGTCTCAACCCACTTATCTCAAGGATTCCTCCCAACTTATTAGGGAACTATCTAAAATCCAGTGGAAAGAACAACATTTTTTGGTAACTTGCGATGTGAGCAGTCTTTATACTATTATTTCTCATCAATTAGGCTGTGAGGCAGTTGTACATTTTCTTTGTTTAGAGTCCCAATCAGACTTTATTTTGGAAGCGATTAAATTTATTTTATGCCACAATTATTTTTGGTTTAAAGGATCTTATTTTTTGCAACTCATCGGTAATGCGATGGGGACCAGGTTCGCACCAAGCTATGCCAATTTATTTATGTCCCAATGGGAGGAATCTTTCCTCTTAGGGAACAGCATGGTGGGTGCAGGCCTGGTCCACTATCACAAGTACATAGACGATTTATTTTTTATACGGAATGGGGATCAACCTTCCCTTGATCATTTAAAAAAAAATTAAATCTCAATCAAAGAAGTATTGTGTTGACTTGTGAATACAGTATCTAGTGTACATTTTTGGGATCTCGAAGTATTCATTGAAGATGGAAATATTTATACACGCACCTTTTTTAAGAATGTAGATACTAACCGTTTTATAGATGTTGATAGCTGTCACTATGCTCCTTGGTTACAAAATATTCCGAAGGGCCAGTTTTTAAGAATTTTTAAAAATTGTAGTAATAGGGACGATTTTATCTCTCAAGCTAATTATCTAAAAGAACAGTTCTTAGCCAAAAATTACGACCCTGGACTTTTAGACAAACAGTTACTATGGGTTAGTACACTAAATAGGGCCCAGGTTTTAGAATACAAATCCAAAAAGGATAAAGGGAATAAGAACGACTTTAATTCTAGAGGTATCCCTATTATCTTTGATTCTAGTAATAGATCCAAACACATTAAATATATTTTAACTAAATTCTGGTATGTGCTAAAAACAGACTCAGATCTCACTAATATTATTGGAGATAAACCCAACATAATTTATCGAGGTGCTAAGAAAATTAAAAATGATTTAGTAAAAGGTTTTATTAAACCAGTCAAGACCAATTTTGTTTTCAACCAAAAAATGTTTTTTATCCTTGCAAAATGTGCTCTAACTGTAAGAACACTTATTTTATGAAAGATATCAAAACTTTTTCTACATCATATATAACAGGACAAAAATGTAATATCAAGGATATCCTTACTTGTCACACTTCAAATGTGGTGTATTTCCTCTGGTGCCCATGTGGGCTGCAATACGTGGGAATGACCACTAGATGTTTGAAAACCCGTGTTGTGGAACACATGGGCAATATAAACACAGTATTTCTGATCATTTTTTACAATACCATAATAAAGATTCTTCTAAGTTATGTTTTATGTCTATTTTTAAAAAGCCTTTCAATTGGAGAGGGGAAGACAATTTTAAGGAACCATATAAAATTGAAAGCAAGTGGATATTTACTTTAGATACCTTGCCCTCTAAAGGGCTTAATCTTGAGTTTGAATTGTCATTTTTTATAATTTTCTTTTAATTTTTGCAATACACAATTTTAGAATTTACCATAAGGTCTTAGTTTTACCATTTGCTTAGGTGTAGTTTTTCTTTATATATAACCTTTGATCATATTCTCTATATATTCATCTATGGCTTTTTTCCCCTCTATTATATTACTGTGCATTTCGGACTACTTGTTAAGTCATTTTGCCCACACCAAATAGGGGACTGCTCCTAGTGTGCCCTCACTCCAATGATTGGAGGACCGGAAATGATATAGCCACATCGCGTCACGTGATGGCCGCAGTGTGTCACGTGATGGATTCAGCGTGATGACGCGGATATGCTGTGCCAGAAATAGAAGGACACAGCCGGGAACGTTTGAAGAAGATTCAGAAGGGTATTTATAGCCACTTAGGAGAGAGCATCTTAGCACTGAAGAAGACTCCAGCCGGAGTTGAAGCGCGTTTGCTAATAGACATTTACTATTTTGGGACTTTTTATCTTGTATGCAGTGTTTACCTAGGCTTTTTTGCCCAGTATATTTGTTATACATTATTTCACTGCTTATTTGTCCCTTACCTTTTAAATCAGTTTATTAATAAATTTTTTCAAACTATTTATTTGTATCCTGTGCTACTCTCCTTTAAGAATATCGTTTTAGCCTTATTAGGCACCCTCCTGCACATCATATAGAGCCTGGGACAGCTCCTGTGAGTTTACAATATGTACACACAGTTTGCACTATGTTTTTATATCCTTTTTTTTTTAGATTGATCCTGATATCTCTAGTTTTTAAAAACCATACATGAAGTGAACCCATTGCCCCCCTCCACCACTAACCATTACAATAGGCCTTAGTAGCTGATGTGCATGGTGGGTCACCTCTAGTTTTTAAAAATGTTGTTTGAGAGGGGTGCCAGCAGTCAAATCCACCCACAGTGCTAACTATGCTAGGTACACCTCTATCCCAGAGAACAGCAAACACATGTAAACACAGGCATATCATCCCATCCCAATCCCTGTTATGTGTAATGGAGTGTCTTTTTAGCATAGGGCAGGGGAAGTCCTTAGCTCAGCCCTTCTCTCCCAGTGCACATAGCCATGCTGCAGCTTCTCTCTCTCTGAGAAGCCTCTAAGCATCATGGGATTCAGAGTCAGAGAGGGGAGCAGGAAGTGGACAGCAGGGGGTTCCATCCCAGTAAGGGATCAGGCAGGAAACGCTAACTGTATATATTGGTTCCATGTGTGCCTGTACTGCAGCATATAGGCAGAGTCTGGATCCATATCACTGTCTGACAAACTGAACATTGCCTCACTGTTTTACCCATTTACAATTCATTGCTTTTTATTATTGTCATGGATAGTTGTAGTGATCTGCAGCTTCAGGCTCTCCTGTAGTGTGTATTGGAGGCAATGAGTGGAGTCCAGCATATAATTGTAAAAAAGTAGAAGTAGAAGTTTAGCAGACTGGTTCCCATTTAATGATAACGGTGTCTTCAGTAAAACTGCAATCTATTAGATTCATATTAGAAAATTAAATCGAATTTCACACATCACCGCTGACATTCACAATTCCTTATATGAGAAACCCAATAAGGAGTTATGCAAGCAAGAATATAGTTATGTGAAGGGCTAACATTCCTGTGCTTGTGAGATTATTCTTCTTTAACACTTAAACGGTCTTTAAATATGTGGATATTATATATGTGGTGGTGGTAGAGAACGTTGCTTTGTTTTTAATGAGATTTTAATTAGTTTTTGTTTTCTGTGCAGCACCGAATAATAGAGGTGATATCTGGCAACTCAGTACATATAGTAACATCATTAACTCCTGAAGAAATATTAAAGAGATACATGGACAGGCTAACAGTTTATGAGCACTATGACATCTTTCGTTACACTGACATCTACTTTTTTGGTAACAGTGGAAGGAAGTGTCATGGTTTCATCGGTGAACGACATAATCGATGCTATGATGACACGGAGGGTTTCTATATTCAAGTACCACATGATCACATCGCATACAGGTATGAAGTGCTTAGAGTTTTTTCGAAAGGATTATCTGGACAAGTGGTGGCAGTGTGCAATCACAAATTTCAACAGCATGTAGCATTAAATATGGTCCGTAACGAGAAAGGTTGAACTTGTCATCAGCAGGCCATAAATGAGATACAAATACTTAAACATCTGACAAAACAGGACAAGGATAACAACATGAATGTTATTCACATGCTGGACTACTTCACAAAATCATATATGTATGACATTTGAGCTACTCAGCATGGACCTGTACAAACCTATTAAGAAAAACAAATTCACAGGTTTCAGTCTACCAACAGTGCATACATTTGCTAACTCGATTTTACAATGCTTGGATTCCCTGCAAACAAATAAAATCATCCATTGTGACCTCAAACCAGAAATCATTCTGTTAAAAGAACAAGGCAAAACTGACATCAAGATGGCAGACTTTGGATAAAGCTACTACTATCATCAGCGCAATTGGAAATACATCCAGACTAGGTTTTATCATGCATCTGAAGTCACCCTTTGCGGTCACTACGGATTGGCTATTAATGTGTGGAGCCTGGGTTACATTCTTGCTGAGCTGTAAATTGGAGTTCCACTATTACCCGGGGAAGGTGAATATGACTGACTTGCACTTTGAATGATTGAGTTATTTGGTATGCCATGCAAAAAGGCCTTAGATCTTCTAATACGTACTACAGGTTAATTACCACCATAGGACTCCATGATAACTGCAGTGCTAGATATCTGTCAGATGGATCAGTGGTGCTGAATGACATTCACTCTGAAGCAGGAACATAACGTGGTTGACCTGGCAGTCGAGACCTGGTCACCGCACTGAATCGCTGTGAGCATCCCCTTTTTACAAATTTTCAAATGCAGTGCTTTGAATGGGATCCTGCACAACCTATGACACCAAGCCAGTTATTACAACATCCATGGCTATGGAGCCCTTGCCAAAGTCTCCAAAGGGGAAACAGGGCTGATTGTGATGAATTAAATACCATGCTGAACATTAATTATTTAATTAATTTAAAAAAATATTCTGTAATATTTTATTTTAATTATCAATAGTATGTGGCATTGTAAACAATAGCTGCAAGTTTTCTCATGACCACTGACTCAACCATTCTGACTGTTAAACTGTATTAATGTGTTAAAATAAAAATGTTTTCTTTAAAATGCATTTTACATAGATGATGCTGGGAAAACCCACGACT